ATATATATATATATATATATGTGTGTAAATCAACAAAATGTGTCGAACGAAATTTGTATAGCGACTGTGAATAATACATATTACTGTTCATAAGCTGTGAATAAGAATGAATTAAAAAAAAACTTTATAGGAAAGATCAATCAAAAAGGAAACTCACGAGATACTTTAGATTAGATTACGCATTTGTCACAAAAATGTAAAGGGAGTACAAGATGTATAGTAAAATTAATAAAATTATAAATAAAAAAAGATCTCTAGAATTTTAAGAGCGTACTCTTCTAAAGGAATAAGAAAGCCTTACTTTTAAGTGCGTACAGCTTAATTGTTAGCATGTATTTAATCTTTCGCGAATACTTAAATGTAATTATTCCTGTAAACGTAATTATATTATTGGAAATACTTAAATGTACTTTATATGTTGACTAATAATTTTTTTCTTACAATTAGTAAATCCTTTTTTCATTATTTTTCTCACGCTATTTATTAAACTATTTTGACGTTTTAAAAAGATTTGAATTATGCAAAAAGTGAAGTGAAGCTTTATGTATATAAATATTTATCAATTTCTCGAGAAGAAATCCAAAAACAGCCAGAGATTTTCATGCAAAAATAATTAATCACATTTAGTGACAACAAGTAAGTAATAAAAAAAAAGTAAGTAATAAAATAAAACAAGTAAGTAAGTGCATATGTGCGTATGTGTGTGTGTGTGTGTGTGTACGTATGTATACAGCACAAAATAAATAAATATGACAATTCCGATCAAATATGGCAAATAGTTGGCTTATTATCAATTTATGTGTGTTATAAATATTAAGATTTAAGCGACTGTGGAGTGACTAGCATATACTGGTTAGTACTTACCAATTAATATAATTTTAACGTATAAATTTGTATTTTATTTTTAACTGAGCATGTTATAAGATCTAATAGTTGGTGATGATATTTATAATTAAAAATTTAATATCAAATCAAAGATCTGCCCGATGAAATTGTCATATTTATTTATTCTTATTGTTAGTTGTATTTACTTTTTTAGATTATGCGACATCCATCAGAATTGATGTGATTTTTCATGTTACTAATATATTGTGTGTGTATTTATTACGAGACATTATATTATTATATATAGACTTTCGTTGATCAAATGATAAGATGTCTATTCAGAAAGTAGGGACGTCCAGATTTAAGCTTTGACTATATAAGATTGACATTTTTTGCAATAAATTTCTGGATAATAGTGCGAGATTTATAAGATGCACATTATTTTAGCATAATAATATTCAGTTAATATCAATTTAATTATATTAGATGGCATTTCAGCGTTAACAGAAGATCACGTAAAAGAACAAGCAGTAAGTATAACAGCATGTAATTCAAGATATTCTGGTAATGTTTGCAACTGAGGAATTAAGATTGTCATCGAAATTTTTATATTTATTATTTCGTGTTCAATGAATTTAATAATTAATATCATTGTTTTATATACATGTATAATAATAATGATAACTTTATTGAGGTGGAAAGAAAATACAGATTAACACGTCAATTTGAAAACAAACATGAGGATAATTAATATAATGTTAAATGAAACCTCACAAAGTGTAATATTAGCAAGCCTATAGATTGCTGCTCACAGGCCAAACATTAAAATAATGGACATACAGTTTTTATTAATTTTAAAACGCTGTAGCGTCAAACGTGAATTATAAGCAATTTAACATGTTTAAAGTTACGACACCATGTTGTAAATAAATTTTAAAAAAGTTTTTGATATTTAGTTTTTACTTGAAAAGGCAAAATATCGCAAAATATTTACGCGATTATACTATATTATATTATATTATATAATCTATTATTCATTCACAATTATAATGTAGTTAAAGGCAGATAATAAAGTTAATTCTGTAAAAATAAAAAAGAATTTTTAAAGAAAATTTTAAAACTAAAATTTTTTGCAACATCGATTTCTTTTACAAAGCAAGAAGAAGTGAGTATAAGGAAGTGTTGGAGGTCTAATCTTGATTAGTTCTCGATAAATATCGTGATTTTGTAATCGTATTACGTTATAACGGAAAGATTTGAAAAGTCTTAAAAATTTCTTTCAGTCACGTATGTGTCTTTTTAAGATATTTACATTACAATTAGTTTTATGCTCTACATATTAGATTACTTTAACGTAAAAATAACTTAATTTTCTAATCATCAAAATTTTCTCTATTAAACAGATTAACAGGTGGATAAATCAAACTTTTAATTAGCGCATTTATTATTTTTGACGCAACAATTTTTTTTTAATTTAAAAAATATAACAATTTTTACACATGTAGGTGTTGCGTACGTGTGTGAATGATTATTTGACCATTTATATGAACTCATATATATATATATATATATATGAGTCTTGCAAAATGTGCTTTTAATATAATAAATTTGGCTGAATTTGGATTGTTATCAAGCAGTTATAATTTTAGCGATCACGTCTTTATATACTTTTAGTAATCCGACCTTTTTAATAATCGATACTTTTCAATTATCAATTTTCTTTTTCGATTTAAAAAGCTTACTTTGCATTGCTAATACTTTAAAGAAATACAAACATTATTTGGAAATATTCATTAGTTTTAACAATTAAATTCAATTAAAACATATATCCGCATGAGAAACTTTGTAAATCATAAATCTGTTTTTTAAAGCGACTAATCGCAGCACTATGTTAATTATAATAGTTGCTCAATAATAATTAATTGTCATAATCAGCAGCTGTATTATTATTAATTGAAAAACAGCTTTGAAATGGAAAAAGAAATATTATCGTGTGCCTCAACAGTTGTATATAAAAGGATTAATATCAATAAAATAGTTAATTATAGACAATTGCATTATTAATTAGCTATTTATTATATTATTTATTATACATATTATATGTTATAATTATTATTTAATATTTATTTATTATGTCATCAAGATTCTCTTCGTATGTTTGCATTATATTTATTATATTATGTATATTAAAATATACGAAGGCATCGATTAAAATTAATTGGTAATACTTTTGTTGAGATTAATCATAATTAAGATTAAATACTTGTATCATTGTGCAGTTGGCAATAAAATAATGCGCGGCGAGGTGTATTGCCTGGGCGTGTAAAAAAATCGCTTATGAAATACTATGTTATCGTATGTTGTCGGAAGATATCGTTTCATCACGCATATATATCACCGCGGGTGATAATTGCAGTTTTGCTGTTTTGGCATATTCGAGCGGTGCTTGCAGTTGCAGTTTGAGGATCGCGGAAAAGAGAGTTATTCGAATATCTCTTGAGCTCTATCGCGGCGGTTGGCCGACTCCACGTGACCCATTATCTGCTTTCCTCCCCTCTAGCCCCTTGATCGCTGCCACGTTCTCGCGGCGATATCACCCCTTCCTCTCCTTCCTTAGTCTCATCCTCCCTTCCCTATCCGCGCGCGGCGCGTCTCTTTGCGAGAGACTTAATACGCATACGCGAGAGCCGCGCGGGCTGCGCATCGCGTCACATAAGCTCTCGATTCCGACGCGGTCGCGTTTTCGCGAGTCGATCGAAAGCTGCGCTGCACCTAAAACGAAACAGGCCGCCGCGCCGCCGGGGAGGCCCGAAATCCGCGAGCGGTTAATCGCGAGAGATCGTCGTTGCAGCGTATGGAACATCGCCCGCGCCATTACCGCGGTGGAGCCACCTGGTCGCGCGGATTTCGCGAAGAGATGCAGGGGTAGAGAAAGCAGGCGGGAGAGAGGATGGGTAACGAGGGTGATCGCGTACCGCGGGAGGGGTATTAAGGAAATCACGTATTGACGCGTCTGCGTGGTCACGCCGGCGCGTTGCCGTCGTAGAGGGTGCGCCGTGGAGGGGCGAGGGATGAGAACGTGCGGCGGAGTGGTGGAAGGATAGGCACTGAAGACCTCTCTCGCGGGGGTCGGGCCAGCCTCGATCGCTCAATATTCAACCCTTCTCGCCGGACGAGAGCGCCCGACAGCAGCGGCTCCTCCTGCAGACGGGGGCACGAATCGACCGTTCCTTCCTTTGCGCCCTCGCCCGCCGCGGAGCTGTTCGATCGCGGCCAACGTTCCGCCGGAGGAAGTCCTCGCAGCCCTCGAGAGGGATCGGCACACGCGGGTGGCAACGCGTTCTTCTCTCACACCTTCTCGCTTCTGTCGAAGCCGCGGAATTTCCACTCCCTTTCTTCTCGCGCTTGCGGTGGTTTTTCTCACCCCGTCATCGGGAGTCGCTGTAAGAGCGGGATGGAGGGCAAGAAAGTCGAGCAGTTTTACACCCCGCCGCCAAAGCTTGGGAAATGGGAAGGCTTCCGTATCTTCCTCTGGAACTCCGAGACGGGACAGTTCCTGGGGCGCACTGGCGCCAGTTGGGGTGAGTCTTTTTTCTTTTTTTTTAGCGGCAATATGTATTTTATAGCGAGACTCTTTCTCTCTCTCTCTCTCTCTCTCTCTCTTTCTCTCTCTCTCTCTCTCTCTCTGTAATATCAGCTTCTCCCGTTGAGTCCTTGCGTTTCTGACCCGCCCCTCTGTGCGCAAGATTATTTTCCGGGAGATTAACTGCTGACTCCAATTATCAAAGTTTGATTAATAAAGAGAATCGAGATGTCCTAATATTGTCCTCAAGTCACGTAGTACATATAGTCTTGAGTCAAAAAAAGTGTAGATATATAGGCACAGTAGTACGTTATTTGGAAATCATATTAGAACGGCCTAGTCATCAAGGATTTCTTATTTGCATTCGATTACGTTGTGCAGTGTCTTAATGGCTCGCTCCTAAAAGAATATCTTTGGATATTGAAAGAATATCTTTAGAGACAAGCTAGTCTAACTAGCGATTCGACCAACCCGTAAATGTAGGTTGGATAGTATATTATATTGCACTGTGTAGGAAAAAAATGTTACATTATTCAAATCGTTTCCTTATTTATATTTATATATACATGTATCATATCATTTCGTTCGTATCATTTTGCGCAACATACGACAAATTAAACGCGAGACAAGCCACAGGCATCCTGGCTGTTAATATTCTGATTCAATTATGGAATGTGTACACAAACGAAATTGCAAAAATTATTTCAACACGCTTTGCGAGCCTGGTATTAAATTAATTTTTGGAGTTTTCTAGGAGTGCATTTTACAAAACATTCGAATAGTTTATTCGCATTAAAATCCGATAACGTTAGTCAAATTACATCTGTCACATCAGACGTTTGTGGAATTGTTAGATAAATTATATTCGTTAATATTCTCGCGCGATAGTTAATTAATATTGTTATGTAATTTTCCATTTTTGTTTTCGCTGACCTGATCCAATTACTTCCATTACATTTCGTTCGACCTATACCAAGATTAATCATCAAGCGTGTAGAGTTGAAGAAAGATTAATAGATCCCAGATAACATGCATATCTAAAAAAAAACCGTCTTAAATACTTTTTTTAAGGCTTTCTGCAAAAACGTCCGAAAGTTGTCTTTTATAAGATACTTTTGATGCGTGTATAGTTATTTACGTTATCCAATGTAACATTTATCAATTAAATTACATGACATAGTTAATCTGGATATAACATAATCTATAAAAATGTTTACAGTTAATCTGACATTCCGACAATTTGAATTATTATACGTAAAAAATTAAGGCAAAAGTATTCAGAAATGTGCATTAACAAGAAGAAAAATGTGAGATATGGTAGAAGCTGAAATTACCTGCTAAATTGGTATGTCAATTATTTAATACTTACATAATTTTTTTATTAACGATAGAAATTTTAATCCGTTGTAATGGCTAGATTGTTATCATAGTTATGTAAAGTAAGTAATTTATGTGCGTAATTTTACAAAATCAAGAATTAAACAAATTATCCGATTACATATTAGAAATGAGAGAAATATGTATTTATTAGAATAACACTTGTTAAATCAATAGCGTTAACATATATCTCCAATATATTTTTTACTGTTTCACATTTCATCTTTATTTAAAAAATAAGGATTTTTAATAAAATGATATTTTTAAACTAATATTTAGCTTTGAATAATAAGATTTCAAAAAATATGGGTGGTCAAAGGTTATATATGACGAAGCCTCATTACGTAATAATACATAAAAGATAGTAGCTGTGTGTACCACTATGACATTTCCTAGATCGAAAAATTTTATCGCGATTTTTCACAACGTTTATTACTAATTTGTTTTAACACACATACACACATACACACACAAATAATAATAAAAACTTAAATACAAAAGTAGAGTAATGAGAGTCACACGAGCGGTTCTTGGTGCTTAAATTTTATGTAATTTGATTTTCTAATACATAAAATTTGGACACCAAAAACCGCTCATAACTCTCATTAGCCTACTTTTGTATTTAAGTTTCGAGAGTCCTTTATTATTAATTTTATAAATAATAATATACAAAACAATTACAAATTTTGAATTTATGATATATATGTAAAATATACCGATTATTCAGTATATTTAATTATTGTAATTTTTGTTTGATCTAAATTGTTTATCAATATTCATATTAGCATAAATTTAATTTTAGATATTAATGTCTTATAATAATATTGAAATATTTAAAAGATTTTAGAATAAATAATTAAATAAATTTTTAAAGTCAAATTTAATAAATTTAATGAAAACTTATAAAAGATTCTACGAATAACAGTTTTCGAGTAACGAGTCGAAGTTTACTAAAGAATGATCATTATATTTTTACTTACAGTCAGTTATTATGATTGATCAGAATTAACATGAGATTAATTTTTATTCTTTGCGACTTAATTGAGAATTTTGAAGATGTTTGAAACGATTTTATCTTTTAAAAATCGCTGACTCAGTTTATATGTACGAATTTATATATTTGGAATTGCTGTTACATAATTTATACTACTTGCCAAATAACTTACTATATTAGTTTGTAAAAAAACGCGAGTTAATTTACAACTTTAAATGGAGTTCGTCATAATGTCGTGCTATTGTACAAAACGACTATTTATAGAGGCAAAAATTTATCCAACGGCAAACTAGTTACATAAGACATAGTTCCCTCCATCGGAAGTGTTATACCCGCGCGACGTAAGGTTTCACATGTATGTGTACTTTACTACTTACCGATCGTAAAGTATATATTGAATCAGAAAAAGTGCAAAAATAAGGAATACATGCACTTTGTTACAGGGAAAGAAAGAAATTTTTACTTTATATAATTTATATAAATTATTTATTTAAATTAAATTGTAGTTTAAAAATTGTGCACTTGATATTAAAAATTAAAGGACTTTGGAGGAATTAAATTTGAGAAAGTAACAGATGCGGTTTATATCTTTCGATTAATTATGATATAATTGCATAAAAAGTTGAATTTGTATTGACAATTTTCTTAGTACAGATATACACACATGCTTACGTAACGAAACTAAAGCTAACTAAAGAAACCAACGCGAGGCAAATAGTGGTGATCGAGCATGAACATCTCTTAATATTTTCCTTCTGAATATAACTTATGTATTCAAGTACGTGTGGTTTATATCAAAACTATCTTTAGGTTGACTATTATGCCAATATATTAATCGGTCTGACGATGATCCCAATGCTGCAATGCTGAAATTCCAGATTAAAATGTTCCCGTTTGTTTATATAGGTAGTAATAGCATTAAACCGAAAATATCTCGTGATAAATATATGTAAGGTTTCTGCCAACCGTGCTGGTAGAGAATTTAGCATGAACATTTCTTAGTCTATACTCACTGTTACGCGCATCCTGTTTTGATAAGCTGACATTTTTTATGTCTTACTACCAGAAAGAGAAGTTTCATATATGCAATAATAGTTTAAGTGACACTTCTAATTAACTTCTTATATAACCGTTTTTTAAAAGCAAAATTTGTTTTTTTTTTAAACCCTAACACAATATTTTCTTTTATTTTTTTTTGAAAAATTTTGTTTTTTTAATTAAAACGGTAGGCTGAATGTACTTACTTTACACATGTTTAAATAAATTATTATAAATTATTATTAAAAACTCGACGAGCGTAATGTATAAGTAATTTAATAATATTATTATTAATTTATAATTTATATTTAAACTGCATTTTTGTTTAATGGGAGTAATATAGAACGTTATTTAATTTCAGTGTAATTTTTGTTTTTAATTATTGATAATTATCACAGGTTTATTTATATGTTATAAGGCACGTACAAGTTCATGTATGAAAAAGCGCTTTATTTCTTGCAAGAAAGAAACACCATAGGTAGAATTTACCATTGCTGTTATCTGCCGCTTTAGTCGTAAAGTTTTTCAATAGAATCCAACGAAATCAAAGTTTGCGGTTTCCTTCATCCGTACATTGGAAGAGTGCAACCTCGCTGCGGAGACTTCCGTTGTTCTATTTTTATATTTCACCGCGGTTAAGATAGTAGTAGGAATATACGAGTCAGAGAGATGTCAGGGGCTTTCAATAGGGCGGCTTTTTAAATAACTGACGGATATTTTATCGCGCGGTCGAAAATATATGTTGCGATTTTGTATGGATTCCCTTTCTTAAATCCTTCGACGTTCTATTTATTACGCGAGTAATAAAATATACAAATTCTTTTCATAATTCTTTTTCACGTAATTTCTGCAGTCTGTTTATGCTTATCACACTTCTGTTCTTTTCTCTTCTCCCCGTTTTTATTCTCTCTCCTCTTTCCTGCTTGCTTTATCACTTTTTATCTATGCCTCTTCGCTCTTCTGTTGAGGTCGATCGACTTCCGCCAAAATCAATACAAGCCGTCTCCGTTACCATCTCGCAGAAATGGTATGGTCTGATTTCTATACTGGATAGTGTTAGCGTCTGCGCGCTACTAACGCAGCCGATTTTTCTAGCCGAATGTCCTACATTTCAGTTCGATCCTACAGATCGCGCTCCGGCAAGCATGAAAAAAAGAAAAAAATGCTTTTGCAATGTAACGAGATTTACGAGTATCCCGCGGCATGTTACAAATTAGCTGAGATAATTAGCAATTATGCACTGCCTCTGTTACATTACATTATCACGTCAGAGTACTAATGGCCTATTTGACGAAAGAAACTGTCGGCACGCGTCGTTGCATTTCGTATACCGTATCGTATATCGTGTCGATCGATATCTCGGAAAAAGCCATGGAAATGTTAGGCGTTACCGTAGCGACTTGGTGAGCGTGCAGCTTGCATTGACATCAAAAGCCCGCGAGTTATTGGTATAGTTATTTACTATTCTTTATTAACTTTAATGGTCTGAATGTTGAAATTAGTTAGTGAAAAATAAAAAAAAATTAGACAAATTCTTTGTCTTTTTTTTTTGGGAACCAGCGATCCAAATTATCTTATCGACTAATTTTAAAATGCTAATTCTTTTTCTATTTACGTAATAAAATCAGCTATAATTAATTTCTAAAAATTATATACATTATTATATTATTATATATAATAATAGTCGTATATTTTTTCACATTATGTAATATTACTACATATGTATATGTGTATCTTTCTTAAAGAATAATTATGTTGCGAGGAATAACTCACAAAATTTTTTATGAGAAATATAAAGTAATACTTTTACTTTTAGAATCATTGATTATTATATTAATCAATAATTTATCTCAAAATATTCATTTATCAGTATAATTATTTTTATTTTGATATAAGTAAGAGAAATAGAATGTCATGAACGTTTGGCCGCGAACATATGTTTGTAATTGATTTGTATTTATCCGTGACATTTAATTACAGTGTGAACACATTAGGGTTCAATGATGCGGTTATGATCCGACGCAGGCTTTTATACGATTAAGCGAATGAGTTTGCGTTATGTTATCGTTCAGAAAGATATAACTAGCGATAGCATCAAACAAAAAGTTTTTATTTAGAAAAAAATCTGCTTTTCTCTACAACTTCTCTGTATAATTCGTATACTTTATTAAAAATAAAAAAAAAATAGACTACATTTTATAAATAATTTTATATAAAATGAAATTTCATTTATATATAATACGATGAGAGGAGACCTGCCGACGTTATTTGCTTAATGAATTAGAGAATTAAAATAAAATATAACAATGAAATTAAACATTACGTTTAAAGAATTCTTATTATAACAAGAGGAGACCTGCCGACGTTATTCGCTTAACGAATTAGAGAATTAAAATAAAATATAACAATGAAATTAAACATTACGTTTAAAGAATTATTATTACAAGAATTTTTAAATAATAAATAAAAATATTAAAACAATAATTTTTGTCTAAAAAAAAATAAATAAATTTATACTATAGTTATAAAGATGCAATTGATTTCTTTGGTTTGGAGAATTCACTCGATCTCTTGGAAGATATATCGCTTTGCGTGCGTAAGAATATGTTCGTCAATGATTTGTGAACAATCGCACGCATAGCATCGCTTACCCAATATCAATTCAGGCCAATTAGATGCCGGATAATAATTGTCTCGGTGCTCCGCTAGTCTTCGACTAGCAATCGACGATACCAACAATAAAGATTACGCTCGTAAAATAATATGAAATATATTTAACATTATTCTCGATATTTTAATTCTAAATCAAATCACAGGATATATCCAACATATTTTAGTTAACAGTAATTGATACATTAACAAAAATTTCGATTTCGCGTCAATATCGCGAGCTTATAATAGAAAATCGCGTGTTTCAAAAGAGCTATAACTAACAATAAGTTTGATTTGCGATTATGTAATAAAGCAGCTTTCGTGTTTCGAGTAGTTTCGATCAATTTTATAGAATTAGCCTTGAGATACTTTTTCTTGTGCATATAATGCACAAGAAATAAAAGTGCTTCGATAATGCAAGCGTCCAATTGCCTAATATGTTCAATTGACAATTACCTAAGCATCTAGATTTTTAACTGGATTCAAGCCGCAAATGTTACGTTTGTACAAGTACTTATAAGTGTATAAATGGAAATAGAAATATATGTTTCTCAGTAAAAAGCGTGTCTTGCGCAAAGTTGTTATTCCTGCAGTTTTCATACAAGTTACACTACGTATACCATTCTTAGAAAAAATAGCATAGATAAAGAATACGTGCCATTTAACACGTATTGTGACATACTTGCATAAAATAAATTACGTTTTGTTAGAGTTAATTTTTGAATAAATATTTCATTAGTTGAATAAATTAATAAATAATCCTTTTACGTCATTTGATCATGAGAATTAAATTGTATATATAACTATCGTTAATAAATATAGTTTTTTAGTTTCAGTAAAAATATTATACATCAAAATGTCAATATACATATACGTTTTAGCGTCTTTTTATTTCTAGATTTTGATTTGTTTATTTCTATATTGAACTTTGAAGAAAATTATTTTTTTTTCTTATAAAATCTATTAATTAATATAAATATAATGGCGAATCGTGACTTATACAAGCAAATATATTTTCAGCTAAAATTTTGCTGTTCTACGTAATTTTCTATGCCGTCCTGTCCGGCTTCTTCGGTGCGATGCTCGCTGTGTTCTATCAGACGTTGGATCCGAACGCGCCGAAGTGGCAGCTAGATAATTCGCTGATTGGCAGCAATCCGGGTCTTGGTTTTAGGCCTATGCCTTCTGAAAGCAACGTCGAAAGTACTTTGATTTGGTACAAGGCTAGCGACCAGGGTAATTATCTTCACTGGACCAGGGAGTTGGACAAATTCTTGGAAGGTAAGATCAGAGACACTTGAATGAAACATATAATCTTCAATATACCATGACTCACGAATGACTGATCAAATGCGTACATAACAATTATCTATGACTAACAAAAGAAGACAATCGAAGAACGCCTTTCAATATTAACACATGAAAAAACTACTACGCAACTTTTCAAAAGAAATTTATAACACTGGTGCGATTTAGTATTATAGTTTCCGTGAATTAATTACTATAAAAGCAAATAATCAGATCAAGTTAATTATTTTAGAAGAGTATTTATTTTGAAGAAATATTATTCAATCGCAGTATGTTGCGATCAACAAATTGTTAAATCAAATACTTGTTAGCTAAAGAATTAATATGTAGTCTTTTAAAATAATTTTTCTAAACAATGCAGAATATAAAGAGGCGCAGACTGGTACGCTGTACCACGATCAGAGAACTAGATGCGATCACAATAATGCAGCACCTTCAGGCAAAGTCTGCGATGTAAACATGTCCAATTTTGGACAATGTACGAAGCAAAACCAATACGGTTATGCCAAATCCGCACCTTGCATCTTCTTGAAACTGAATAAGGTTTGTATATAATTTTTTATGTGTAATTCACAAAAAACTGTCATAGAATTTTTGATTTCTATATTTAAATTGAAATTGTTTTTTATACAATATCAAGAAGAAAATCGATAATATGTTGCTTATAATTTTTAATTTTTTATAAATATTTTTTCTTTTGTATTTGTCAGCACGAACAAATAATTAAGAATGTTTTAAAATTATTAATTTAAATGTAAAATTTTCTACGTTTTTGGACTTTTCCTGGTTAAAAGTCCTGATTCCTAAAAATCGATTTTTAGGAATTAAAAAAATAATCTTTTATTGTTTCTATAAAAACAGTTTCTAAAATCATACCTTGAATTTTTTCAGATTTTTGGATGGGTACCGCAATTTTATAACGATACCAAAAATTTACCAGATATGATGCCAGCGGATCTTAAGGAGCATATCAAACAACAAGATAAAAGCAAATTGAACACTGTTTGGGTATCTTGTTCTGGTGAAAATCCTGCCGATGTGGAGAATATGGGTGCAATTCAGTACTTACCAAGTCGAGGTTTTCCTGGTTACTACTACCCATTCAAGAATATCCCTGGTTATCTAAGTCCTCTGGTAGCTGTGTTCTTTGAACGGCCCAAGTGTATGTATATGCTTAATTTTCGAAATAGAAAAATGCAGCTTTTTATTAGTATGATAGCTATTTTATCTTTAGACATCTAAGTATCTAAGAATCAATCAATCAAATTCAAAATTCTTATAAAAATTTATTAGAGTTTATAATCTGAATCACATTTAGAAGTTAAAAATGTTCTCTTGATGAAAAAAATTTTCATAATATCTCATAACATTTTTAAGAATTTGTCATATTAAAAATTTGCTGATTCCTGAAAAAAATGTTTTAAACTTTTTTGAGATTTTATTAATTTTCTTTAGAAATTCTACAGTGAGAAATTTTAGAAATCTTAGAATATTTCAGGATTTACAACATGTAGAATGTTTATGTGAAAAATTCTAGAAAAGATATAGACTTTTCACTTCTCTCTCTCTGTCTCTCTCTCTCTCTCTCTCTCTCTCTCTCTCTCTCTCTCTCTCTCTTTCTCTCGAAAAGTATTCCAATTTCTATAAAAAATCTATAAGAAATCTAAGAAATTTTCTAAAAAATTATAAAATTAATTGAAATTCTGAAAAATTATAAGAAGAATTGTACGAAAAATTTTTACAGAATTGTCAATCCAAAATCAGTCTAAATCAAATTTATATATCCGAGAAACTATTAAGACCAACATTTAGAAATGAAGGAATTAATCGATTTTGTTACAGACGGGGTGCTCATCAATATTGAGTGCAAAGCATGGGCGCATAACATTCATCACGACAGATTTGAGAGACGTGGCTCGGTGCACTTCGAACTGATGGTGGACTAAGCTCGGCCATTTCGCGTCAATCGACAGATCATCACCGCTATTAACCGCGTCCAAGTAGGAAGCCGCAAGAAAATAGAACAGAAAGAAGACATTTCTTTTTTAACCTGCCTCGTTGGCCGACCGCGATCACACCCTGTACCATCCGGTTTTCTCTCTGCCCGACGATACCGCTCCGGATTAGCCTTACTTCTTCTCACTGTCATCATTTCATCAGCTCATCGTCTTCGTACTTACAACGATTGTAACAGCATTATCCATCTATCATGTCAATCGCCAAGAGAAGGAAACAGGAGAAAGGAATACGAGAAAGAAAGAAAGAAAGAGAGGAAGGGAAGAGAGAAAATGAACAAAAGGGAAAAGCAAGATAAATGAAAAAATGAACTCAGCGGAGCAATCAACTACAATCGAGATGCACAAAACCAAACCACGGGAATGAAGAAAGGTGAAATGAACAATCCCGCACAAAAACCGGGCGGTATCTTCTCTTATTTCTGCCAGGGTTGTGTCACGGGGAGTGATCTCGACCATCGACGGCTAGTCGATCGTTTGCAAAACTTAATTCGCGCGAGAAAGAGAGAGAGAGAGAGAGAGAGAGAGAGAGAGAAAGAAAAAGAGAAAGAGAAAGAGAGGTTTTCCTTTAGTTAAGAGCCCACCGACCGTTCCAGTTAGATCGCTCTTGAGCTTTGCGTCACACACGTTTCTTTTCACGAGGACAAACTCGGCCGATTGTTGGCCGTATGGCACCCACTGCGGATGATCGATGATCTTAGTTCAGCTATGTAGATGTATTACATTAGTGTGTTATGCCCATCGCGTTACGATACATCTTGGCATGTCGGTATGTTGAAATTTTTGGGCATTGGTATAAGAGAAGTGGTACTCGGTGAATTTTAATAAAAGACAGCAGGCACAAAGGGATACAAGTACGCGATAGATTCAGTTGGACTTATCGCTGTCGAGTAACAATGGTGAACAATGATAGCTTATAACGTTTTTTGAGTGATGTTAATAGTGTTCAAGAGAAAATTAGCCACAAGAAAATTAGCAACGCGAAATTGTCATCGGTATCTATCAAGATGTTGACTAAAGTTATGTACGTTATGTGTGAGTTATTGCTATGCTCGAAATTTTTTCAAAACTATTGCAGCATTGATGAGATATAGTTAAAATCTTTATAAAAATGAAAAATATTTGTTAAAGATTTTTATTTTTGAGATATCTCATCGAATTTAAAAGAAAAAAACGATTAAAGTTTATTTAAAAGTTATCAGGTTTTTTAATCTTAATAAACTACTATGCGTTGTTAAAATCGTCTTCTCATTTTACAATGTAACGCAGATTGGAATTCTATTTATATAAAAATTAAAATAAAACGCTATAAAAATTATCGAGTGATACGTTATAAAAATTATTGTGATCCGTTAAGTTTGCGTTGTCTTGTACGTTGACAATTGTTACTTGTATTCCTTTGTTCTAAATATTTTCAATTGAGAGTTAAAATTAAGTGTTATTATATTGAAATCTGCTATGGAGTATGAAAGAGTATAAGCAAATATACGGATATTAAAGAGGCGATAGTTATTGCCACCCAATAATATGTTGAATGTGTATGATGATCTATGATTCTATATAATGCATTTTTCATGCAATAGAAATACTTGGAATCTATGGATTCTTGCATGCAGAAACACTCGGATTCGCAGATTGTTGAATCTACTAATTTTTGAGCTCATAAATCGGCTCGGATTTACGGATTTGGACTTGCAAATTTTTTTTAATGGATCTTAGATTATATAAGAAATATATTTTAATTTGCGAATAGTACATGAAAATAGAGAGAATTAGTGACAATGACTTTAGGCCGTCTGAGGGTTGAAAGAGTTTTTGAGAAAAAATTACGAACTCAAACGCATCTATGGATACGAGATTTTAAATTTTAGAAAAAAATTTCAACCTTTATTAAGATATTTTAATTGATTATGAATTTACTTATATTTTTTGAATACAAGTTAATGACAAGTTTATAAAAAATTAAACATGGATGTATTTTTAAATTTTTAAATTTTATTAATTTAGAATGATGTGAATAAATTTAAGAATTTCCTGATTTATAAAACGAAAGATTTCGTTCAATTAAGAATATATAATACATCTAAAACGAAGATATTGTGGCGTGGAAAGTCCAAGATTTTGTAGATCCGAGTTTGTGTGCGTGCGCGAAGGATATAAAGATATATGAAAATAAATATGCATTAAGATGCATGAAATATAGAAATGCAGATCATGATATATAAACTTAAAGAATTTATGAATTCAAAGATTTATGTGATATCAACGATCTGTACATCTAAGACTCTATGGGCCCAAGAATCTTCTTATCTGAGGATATATGAGGGCAGAATCTATATCTACTCAGGAATCTATAAATCAACAGCAAGAATCAACAAGAATCTACAGATCTAAAGATCTGTGCGTGGACCTAAGAATTCAAATTTAAAAATTTACGAATACAGAAAATTTGCAAATACAATAATCTGTAAGTCCAAGGATCTATTGATTTTGCTAATTAATGCTTAATGCTTAATTTGCGATTTGAGAGGTATTTCAGTTGTATAAGCATGTAGAAAAAAGGCATTGCAGCACTATCAGATCGGTATTGACAAGATATAGGTACATTGTAATAATACAAAGGAACTCTCATGCGCGTTTAGTACTTACTGAAGATAAGATTCCGCGAAGAAATCACCTTAAAGTCTATAATACTTGGAGAGGGACAATTTTCAAAGAGCACTCGCGATCAGTAATTACTACATTTTTAATAGTGATAGTACGAAAAAACATGTACATTGATCGTATACTGATAATATAAATATGTTATATTAATGATATATAATATATATATCGATAGCTAAAACATTAAAATTGTTGATGCATCAATAGTAATACTGATCGTGGTAGCCCTCCATAAGATACTTAATTCCAATCTAAACAATTGATTTCTGGATGTACTTAAGTCAAAGGCATCATTATATTCTTAAACCAAACTGTCGATATATCACAAATGGGCGTTTAGTAATGGGCGATACAACATAAAGCGTTATACTGCACACGAAAATTTATATTATAATTGGTTCTGTTGAAACTATGTGGCGCGATATGGAATGCATATTATTTATATATTGTATTAATTATGTACTCGTAATATATTTAATATTATTAATTCACGCAACTCTGTATCCTATATATAAGTTGTTAAGTTCCGTGCAGGTCAAGAGAGAAGAAACTGCAGTAGAGCTGTTCTTTTTTCTGCATTGACATGATATTACATTTTAGACAGTAGAAAACAGAGTACATTGCATTACAAATACAAAATACATTCCAGAGATCTAAATGATTGAGAGATATTAAATTAATGTACGAATGTTGGATCATCGACACGAGCATTTCCCGAGATGAAAAACTTAAACCTGAATTAGTAAACGATGTATCAAATTTTATGTACAAGTATTTTATGTAGTTTTATTAGTTTAATTATACTGTGCGAATAATATCTATGTATTACAGAGAGTAGATAAGTATCGGTTATATTAAAATATAGATCTTAAAATCCGTAAATCTGTTAATCCATAGATTCACTTGATCACACATTTAGCATCATAGATCCTTGCTTCTATGAATGTGTATAGCGTCACAGCTTGATAAATGCAGAAAGATAAATAGATCCATGGATCTACAGATTCACAGATCCATCGCGATCCACACGTGCACACAGGTCCATCTATTATATATTCGCAGATTTATAATCATTTCTTCATAATTCCTTAAACCTATTGTTATTATTATTATTATTATTCGTAAGTTCTTGATTGATATCTTCATGATAGTTTTAAGTATATTGAGCGCCTGTTTGTTAAATCAGAATAATTAAATCGATCATGTATCTTGAGATATAAATTTCCTAACATTTATTCGAATAATGCAAGCATCGCTGAAAAGATGTCGATAAGACGTAGTCCTTTTGTAGACATCTTTAAGATTTTTCCAAAAAAGACGTACATTTTTAACATGTCGATTATAAATTAATATCTTGCGACTCTCTTCTGAAAAGTACATCTTGTTTATAATATCTTAAAGTTGTCTATTATACGACATTTTCCGGACTATGCAAGAAAGATGTTACTACAGTAATTATAGTAATTATTGTAACACAATCTCTATTCATTCCTATGCGTATCGCGTGCCTAAAGTTTGGTGAAACTAAAGCTTTAGAGGAAATTGTAATTAGATCGCGGGTTCACAACTCGATGCGGCAAGCTCGACATTTAACGAGAGAGCCGCTGTGCCAGACATTTTTTTTTCTTTTCTTCGCGCTCTCAATTTTTCCTTTTACGAGCATAATGCCAACTGCGTGATGATGCGCCGGATAACGTCATCGAAACATCCGGAACGATCGAACACGTACATCCGTGGTCTAATTATAATCTATAATCGGTTGGCAGTAATAGGGAATAATAAATAAAATGGAGACGCCTATTTTCTTAATATTATATTTCGTTCCCTTTTCTCTCCTACTTTCGAGCGACGCGTCCAGTGCAGCTGCGCAAAGTGAATTTTTAACCCAAAATTATAATCTCGCGCATGCGCACCAGACATCCGGAATTAAGATTTGCCCATGCGCAGAAATGGTTTCAAGATAGATGCTTTTAAATAAGAGAGGTTTGTAAGAGGCTACTATCTGTGTGTAATCTATAAGGATTGTCATTACTAATGTTATATTGATCTACTGTAGTGTGTCATTACTAATGTTATAGATTTTTGGATTTACGCATCTTAAATCTTTAAACTCATAAAATTATGAATCAGCGAACTTTCGAATAGACTTTTGAAAGATATATCTTTACATTTGAAGATTCTTGAATAATAGACATAGACAGATGCACAGATTCTTGAATAATTTTCCGTGGGCATTCTAAAATTTGAAAAATATTATAATTATAATACATAAAAAAAAGAAGAAGATGAACCAAAAAGAAGAAAAAGGCAACAAATATATATAGATTCAACAATATATATAGATACACATATTATCGAAAAAATATGCTATTAAATGCTGCACGAGAGGAGATGGCTGTATATTATTCATTAATACGATTAATCTGTTCTTAATTGTTGTTCAAGTATGAAAATCACACAAATTGTGTGCATAAAAGCAAGGGGAAGAAGAAAAAGAAAGAGAGATAGAGAGAGAGAGAGAAATTTAATATATGTAAAGAAAGAAGGAAACTTAAATATAAAAAAAGCTGCAGTCTTTAATGATAGGCGTTCACATCGAATATTCAAGCTAATTGTGTTTAAACTTACAATTGGTCAACTACTCGGATCGATATTTAAGCTTTTCGAGGTGTGCTTTTCGATCAAAATCGAGACTAAAAGACTTCTTTCCCTACGATTTAATTCGAACATCGTTCGTTCTGCATCCCATTTTGTTTCTTCAATTATTATATAAAACGCAATAAACAAGTTAGTATAACACTTATCAATCGAGTGCAAATGTTGAGAAAATGTTTTAAAAAAGGAATCATAAAAGCGAGATAAATAGAAAAATTAAGAAGGACCTTGTAATACGATCCCATACACTAACAATAAGAGTATATCCGTATTTGCCATATATATGATATATATATAGGTATATATATATATATATATATATATATATATATATATATATATGTACATCCATGTTGTGATTGCAGCTAAGCCGAATTTTAATATCCGAGCAATAGCGCTTTATACACAGCAGATAAACGCATTACTAACGAGATATTTAATTAGAATCAAATACGTTCAGAAAAATTGATATACTATTTATACATACGCATGCATTCTTGTTAGACACTATTTGTTGTTGAATTATTGATAAGCCATGTAGTATATAAAAGCGTTTAAGCAGTGTCTTACGTTGTACACATATTGAGTAATGCTTATTTTATGAACGTGATATAATAAATGTTGTATGTAAAGATGTACAACGTTATTATATAATATAATTTCACATTTCGCGACTTCTTAGTGAAAATAGATAAAGTATTTAGAGCGAAAATGTAAAATTTATTTTATTATGTAAAATTTATATTAATTAATTTATTTATTTAATTTATTTTAAAAATATAAAATTTATTTTATATTTTTAAAATATATTTTATTTATTTATTTAAAATTTATTTTAGAATACGAAAGAGAGAGAGAGAGAGAGAGAGAGAGATTTCGTATTCCACAAGTTATACTTAATTTATTCTTGTTCTAAATGTTTCATACAGCTAAAAATATTTTGATTTACGTCAATATTATGATTTTTAGAGAAAAATGAATCAAACAAAAGGTACACGGTCCCAAAAGACATAAGTTGGATTAAAAGAAATCTTTCTAAACAAAAGACCTTATTCCGAGATCTAAAAATATTGTTTGTTTTTTTTAAGTAAAAACAATTTGTGCCTTCCTTGAAATAAAGCAATTTTTGTTTGAAGCCATTTTTTTCTAGAAATAATTAATATTGAGATTGTAAATTGAGGGTG